AACTAGAAAAGAAATTGGCACTTAAACCGGACCACATAATCTGTTGTGCAGACAGATACAGGCCTTAGGCAGAGGAGTTCGTTTGAAGATTATGCAAAATCCCTCCTTTTCGCTGGCCCCTGAGAATCAACCATTATGCGAGTTAAGTCTACTAATGAATCGTTATTCACTTAAGGAAAGGAAAAAAACTTTGTAACAGTTAGAAAATGCGTCTTTCTTACACTGTAATTATGAGGCCACTCTGGCGTCATCTGTTCAAGAAGCTAATGGTGAAGCACTGATTTCCATTTCCATGCCGTCATTCAGCAGTGCCAATAGCATGTATGTGATAAGCACAGTGTATTGACTCCTGATGCCTTCCAGCAAAATGGTACTCATTTCTAAACCGCAGAAGGAAGAAATGCGAGTGATAATATTGGGGCTCGAACCCAGGACCTCTCGTCCTGAGTTTAATGCTCTAACGACTGCAAAACTCAAGCCATTACCATTCGTTTAAGGAGAGAAAATGGAATGGGCAAAAACTAAAAATAGAGCTAGAAGGGGTTAAACGTAGGACTTAGTTAAACGGAGTGCCATTCACAATGTTGTAAGATTTATCTGTGCATACAATGAAACTAGACAAAATTGTAAAAGTTACCTTTTAACCTTCTCCTTTTCAACCGAAGACAATGACATGAACCAAGGGTGAAAAAATGACATTTCCGCATAGATGAATTTCATATCGGCATGATCATCCAAAAATGACAACGCTTTCGACAAGATGCCACGCACTTGTTCTTCATAATATTGTACATATGTTTTCAACCAACCTATAAATCCAATTTTAAACCAGGTCAACACTAAAATTAAACGCTTGCAAAGGGTATATGCGCAAAGTCGATAAATCGATAAGATTCAATGATCATAGGAACGAGAAACAAGCAATGATTTAAAACAATAATTTATCGCCTGCATTAGGCCACACGACATCAGGAATTATCATAACAGGCAACATGGACGATCAAGTTAGAGGTTAATCTGCTTTCAGAGAAGACGTCCTTCCACGATGCAGTAACGGGTGCCTTATGGTGCTTAAGTGTTGAAAATTAGACATCACAAACTAGAGAGGTTCTTCTCATGCAAGGGGTTCGAGGTGATAATGTTAATGTTGACAAAAACCAACACAATTAGCATCGAAAATATGAACAAAAAGGTTACGGTTAACGTGCCCAAAAATTGGACTGAATATAAATCCCAAAACCGCCGATTATCAGCTGTGTTCACCTTCACCGTTTTTCGGGAACTCTACTGAACAACATAGAAGGAAGGCAATAAGCGATCATTTATTACCTGTTTAAATTACAGCTAATGGTCTTCGCTTTCTGATTCATGATTCATGACGATGTTAAATTCTTTATTTACCAACACGCTTCGATGCCGCACATTAGTACCATAATCACTCATTTTGAAATGGTGATGAAGCTGCAGTGTCGAAGCCCACCGGTAAATACAGCATTTACATCGTATTTTTAAACCGCTGCCTTCAGCTAACGATCAGGAAGCTAAGACGGGATTTACATGAGTTTCTGCAAAGCAGTTTATGACGCGGTGAAAATAAGGCAGAGAAGTTGGCTTCGAACTCCGGAGGTGCCGCTCAAATCCAGAGAGTGGACGAACTTTGTCTTAACAGTGAATTCCTTTGATCAAGAAATTTACCTCACCTTCGATGCAAGCAGCTGAGAAACTGGTAGCAACTTGTTGAACTTGGAAACAGCAGAGGCAGCATGGCGTTTTGGTGTGATCATAAAAGAATGGGCGGCGAGAAACATGGAAACGATGTCTTGTGCGAGCTCTTCGTAGGGCTGCAATTCGACCTAACACATCTGATAGCCCCTTTATTGAATATGATAATCAAAAAAGATGTAACCTATGTTATTTTTCTTTTCAGCGTTTGGAGGTACTTATGAATCACATGATCGCTGACTTTAAAGTATACTGATGGAAGTTACCCTTATTACCAGAATCACTCACAAACATACTAGTCCTTTAATTTCGCTTAAAGGTTTTATTTTTTGATTTGCACACTGTATGAGTTTTTAATCAAGAATCAAACGAATCAAGGCGAATCGAAGCCGCAAAGCGCACGCATCAAACAACATTAACTCCGGCATGACCAAACCAAACCAGTACAATACTGATCTAGCATCAACGATCTTCCATTCATTGTCCGCTGAGTTACACCGATTACAATTAGATGAATTCCTTGCCCAAGGGAATCAGCAGTTAGAAGAGAAATTTTATTATACGGATGGGGATGTAAATCCGGCATCTCTGAAGTGCAAAGCAAACCACATACCTGCTGAGACATCTATCTCCCAAAAGTAGGTGACAGGCAGAAGTTTGTTGCTGTCTGCTGAGATTATTATCTTGAACAGTGTGCAGAAGCAGAACTCTCTGGTTTGTGATGTTCGCTGTATCCGCACCTTTTCAAAACTTTTGCCATAAGAGACCGATTACTGTATTTAAAAAGAAATATTCCTTTCTAAACACAGATATGCCTCTACCTTTTTCATCTATGATGCATGATAGCCTCCTGGTCGACGTAATATATGAACAATTACTCAGTCGCTAGCGAAACATTTGCAGGTCCCCAGATGATGAAACAGGGCATGGAGTTTTTTACCATTACTTTTCCGCCTTACATAATTAACTCCGGAGAAATCTGATCCACGCTGCATGCCCCTTGAAGGTAGCAAAGCTTATTGAATTTCTAGCTTTGTGAATAGATCAGTACTAACCTCTAGAATTTGCAGAAAATTAATGGCTGGAAATGATGAATTTTATGGGCAGCCGTTGAGCGGCTGCTAGAAACGATCAGCTCATCCTTTGAGGCGTTCTTCCTAGCCCACCAATGGTCTTGAATAAAGACCAAACCGATTCTGCTGTTTACGTATGTACAACTGTCCCTTTATGATCACTGTTCGCCACTGACGCTTTTTGGTTGCCTTGTCGATTCTATTGATTTTCATCTCTAACCAAAGTTCCCTGTCTCAAAAATAAGTTGGTTGACTGCACGAACGAGACAGGGGTGAGCCGAATTAGAAGGTGCAGTATGGTGTTGCAAATACTCCTTCTCTGCATGACTTGTTTGCACACTAGGTGATTAAGTCTTTTCCATAAACCAGGGTAATTTTGCCATTCTCCTCTTGATCCCTATGCTTTTCGACGAAGATGATCGCCACTTTGAAGTCTCTGTAAGCTTCTCGACGTTGTCCCTTATCGACTGGGCACTATAAGTAGCATTAAACAATTCTCTAGCTTCTTTATGTAGGCCGACCGCGCCACTTCATAGTTTTGCCCTGTGAACGTCGAACAACTGATTCCCTTTAATTAAACAGCCTCAATGCGCCAGGGCTGATTTTAAACGAAGTTCACTTAAAACCATATGGTGACAGGTAAAGTGTGATCTGAAATGTTTCAGCTAACTATCAGACCGTTGCCTTTTAGACGGAATATTATCCGAATGACAGCTATTGCTACCGTCGGCGTCACGCGTTTCATGTCGTGGTGCTTGATGAAGCTGTAACAATGAGAAACCGTTTTAGCAGCATGTCGCATTTAACTGAAAATTGCCGCAAGAGGAGGCCATACTTTTAAAGCATTGCGACAGAACACATGAAGAATCGGCTGATCACTGCTCTAGCCAAAAATGATGTGAGATGCATTCATCCACTGGGGGTTCCGAATGTTACCGATGTCTGGCCTGAATAAATGGCCGTCTAGAAGCAAAGAGGCTATTACACAGATGAAGGGCATGAAGAACACCGTCAGCATCAACTGCTTAAAAAATGTGACACTTTTCATAATGTCGTCTACTCCAGAACAGAAGACAATTACTCATTGGCAGAATAAACAGAAGATCTAGGTAATCATAGACGGATGGCAACATAAAACAGAGTGAAAACAATACCCTTCACAGCACTTTAATCATCAAGATCATCCTAATTAAAAGCCTTAATTTAACCCGTACATTCGATTTGTCATCCCTACGAAAGGAGGATGACCATCCATCGTTGTCATATCGACAACAATACGGTTGCAGTTCTCTTACCATCCTTTTTCTTGGCGGGTAAACTTTACAACATCTTCAAACTTTTCTCTTATTCTGAATTGTCAAAATTATCTTGTTTTTTAACTGTTGCCCTCTGTCTGACTCCTGAAAAAAACGACGATTTTCTTAGTCTGCCCTAACGATTAAATTTTTAACCTGAAATTTAAAGATTAATGAGGCAATGGCACCATGTAACAAACTGACAGAAATTTCTCCAACGTCAGGACTCAAATGCTTTCATCTTAAAGGAATGCAATAGTTTAGAGCACGCACACAAGAAGCTAGCACAGCAGAAAACATAGACGCAATAGTTTACGTACATTCACGTGAAAACAACATACCTGGGTCGCAATGAGAATGCGGTACGACGAAAACTTTAAGAGTAGGCAGAGATTTTTCCTCGCTTTCCTCGTAGCTTATGTTCCAGCCTTGCTTCCAAACACCTCCGTCGGGATTATCGAATTTCAGGCTTTCATATACGTCTAACATCTAAATTTAAAGGTATTTAACAAAACTGAGACATGTTTACCACATAACATCTAATAAACAACTAGCTCAGTGGCAAAATGAGAGTGAGTGCTGGAAATCGATTCACGCATGTTTATCTAATTTTTTCACTCTCCCCTAATATTAGCAGCTGAGACTACCTCATCTGATGTACGCGTCAATCAACAAACACATAACTGGCATTAGCAACCGTTCCGAAAGTAGTGAAATGACTCGTCTTCGCTCTACCGTACCACAATACCTTTACCACGTCGGTACTTCAATAATCTTTGCCTTCTAATCGCTGAATTGTAGCCCCACTTACAGAATCGTGTTGCACAGGCTTTCGGTGAGTGTCAAAATCCAGTTTGCGGAATCGCTGAATAGCACGATAGTATAATGAAAGACCATTAGAACATTGCCGGTAGTTTGGATTGCCCAAGTTACAGAAAAATTTTCAACCATTCCTTAGGAAGACAGGAAGACACATTTCTGCAGTGCTGTGTAACAGATGAGCCTCTTGCTTTGACGACCACTGCTGAAAAAACTTTGCATCAGTCTTCCGGTGATCCTTTATTACTGAAAATGCATTTTGTTCCATCGTAAAAAACCTCCATCAGTTTTGCCATCGCCTTCAAAATTCAGCAGTGTCGAATAACACGTCATATTGTCTGGCACAGGTACTCTCTCTGAAGCTTCGACGTCCATATCAAATTCATGATTATCGGCGATATCACGCTTTACATATAACACGTCGATTAACTATGTTACACGTGATATGCAGTTATTAGTTTTTGTTCATGTCATGTTTCTGTTGTTTTCGCTCATTTGGCCTTTGATGAAAAATTCAGGATGACGCTACCAGACTTTGCAGCACTAAAGCTTTTAAGCCTGAAAACATCTGTTTATTGTGATACGTCTGAATCGGAATCTGATATATGATGAAACTCTGACACTGATCGATAAAACTATATCCTAGTATAGCGATATCCTAACTCAAACGTTTTATGACTTCAAGGCTGAAATGTCTACTCTACGTTGATTTTCATTCAAATCAGTAAATTTGTTTGATTGCAATGCTTTAATAAACTCGTTGTACAAAAACTAAGGAAATCAAATACCAATAATAAAAAAGTACCATCGGAAGATCGAATAATTCGTCCAGGAGTTGATGGTCATGCTGAAAACAGCATAGAAACACGGTTAATTTATATACAATGCAAGCTATATGATCGATCGGTAGATTAATCAATGCCTACGTTTCAGTGTCTCAGGGGAATTATACAAGGTAATGAGTTGGGTTTGCTTCAAAAGTTCTTTCAATCGTTCACAATTGTTCAAACTTTTGGAGCCGAGTGGTCTAACTGTTTGCGCTATGTATAAATAAACCGAGTTTTATGCTGTTTTATAAAAGTAGACTTACGTTTTCAGTTTACAGAAAAAACGCCAGTTTATCATTCAAAAATTCTCATACCTGCACATCGACGGAATGCTTCGACTTAAGCAGACCAGAAAACTCGCACGTTTCCCGATTTGAAATCGTTCCATCATCACTGTAAAATCCTTGGGCATTTCCAATGCTACCATTTCTTTAAAAAAAATGAATTCTTATAAGAACAAATCAAAACAAACGCGTCTTACACAGAAATCTGAACTAAAAGCTGACATTTCAAGCCATACTCAATCCGTCTGCAAAGCATCAATGAAACAACGACATGATATGATTATTTTTTATGTCTTAATGATATTGAAGGCCATTCGGTCGAAACTGTTCGTGTTGTGCCGTTATACAGAAACTTGCACAGCTGTTTTCAGCATAATCATGCGGTACACTGCTTCCATTCATTTACTGCACTGCACTGGCATCAGCATCATAAGTCATGCATGATCACAAGTATTTGTTGACGTGTGATGTCGTCAAGAATCGACGTACAAACCTTCGCTTCGGTGAAGAGTTAGGAGTTATCATGCACTGTACAGCATCATCGAAGATTCAGCATCTCGCTTGTGCGCTGATATTAATACTGAAAACAGCGTTTTCGGCTCTAAACGTACCGGCCGCTGCGAACAAAAAAACGGACTTCCAAAGTGAGTCAACTCTTTTACCTTGAAGAAAGCATGTGAAACAGGGCTGAAACGTCGCTATTGGTCAATCAGCCGATTGACTGCATTGTTTATTTTCTATCTAAATAAACAAATAACAGGCGTTTCCTGTTGTTTTCAGTGCAGGAGATAAAAGATATGATGAATAAATACAACCATGATGGCAAGTCTTAAAAGATACGGAAATGGGTAGCCCATGGGGAATCAAGATCAATAACAAAATTACACGACGTCAGTGAAGCTTTGACCAAATAATTATCGCATTAACGATAATGCTGACTTCCTAAATCCTCCTAAGAAACCCAACCTCAGAACTCCCTGCCTCTAAGGCCAACACCGAACAGAAAAAGACATCCTTCAGTCACATACGAGCGTACATCGTTTGTGAAAGATTGAACATTGCCGAAAACCACCAATTCCACTGTCCGTTCAGGGACATCTTCAGTTTAAGTAGTTCAACATTTGGCGCATATTCTAAATGACAAAGAAATGCAGCTGATAGATAACTTTAAAATAATGCCCTGCGACATCGAATAGACGTAAAGGAAAGTTTCAACTGTTCTGATGACAGTCTCCATATCACTATGACAATAACTACCATTTGTGCCCGCTTTTAAAGAAGCAGATGGTTCGTCAGTCGACAGTTGATCTCAGTTCGAGTGCCATCAGCCAGAAGTGTTCTTTATACGAAAATAACATTTAAAACCAGGTGAAAATCAGAGCATATAGCTGTCCACAAAATAGTTTTCGCTAATCTATTTCAAAATAACGAATGTGGGTGACTCGGCCCTGATTCTAACCCCTGATTCTTCTGTGCCAACTGAGTTACTCCAGCTAACCTGATATCAGACCCAGTTTAATTACTTGCGTTACTGTTTGTTCAAAGCGTATATGCCTGGGTTGAATATGCGCAGAGCCATCTTCGTACTGGACATTTTACGGTAAAACAGACATCAATTACAGTAGATGAAGAAATTGCACCGATAACTTAAGGATGAACAGATAACAGTTTACCGAATCTGCTGCAATGAACTCAGTGATGGAGTCTTCTTTCCGCTGAATAAACCGTGATGGATTTTCTCTCTGATCTCCTGCACCGTTAGTTCATTCAGTCGGATATCGTCTTCAAGCTGCTGGATTTTCTTTTTTATGATGTGCAGGTTTTCCTTCAAGATGAATCGATTAAACGCGTAACATCTTAGAACATTGTAGAAGCATGTATATGTTCAGCTCAAAAAGGCATAAACATCGGTGTTTCTGTCAATAACTTACAAAGAAGTTATTGTAATCACTAATAACGAACATCAGCAGGTAAACAATTAAAGCATCGTAGCGAATAAGCACAATATACGCATAAATAAATATTGCCATAAACAGAAGTGCAACATAAACAAGAAAAATGCGTGAAAAAATGAAAGCACAAGAAATGAAAGCACAAGAAATGAAAGAAAAGGATGAAAAAACGTAGAGATAAAATAAATTAAAGGATATTAAGTAGCATAAATTATGTAGAATTATGTTCTAATAGAATGGAAGATTTTTTAAGCTTAATTCATCTTTTAGCAGGCTGCATAAAATACTTTAATGAACGATTCACGATTATCTTGAGAGCGGCATTGTTAAAATATCGGTGAAGGATCTTCACACGTTGCTATCGATGCGATGTAGGTTACCAATAATGCTTCAAAGAGCAGAAATGTTCTTCACGTCCATGCCCGAAAACAGTTATATGGATATGTTCATTTATACGAGTTTTAATGTCTATTTGTCATAACAAAATAAATCTTTGGACAAACTTTACAATTAATTTGTTAAAAGCGCAGTTTTAAACTGGACGTCTGCTGCTAAATGGTCACAATACAAGAAGCTGCACAGCGTGATTCATTACTTACAGATATCCTTGAATCCGACCATACTTGGTAAACGATGGACGGATGGAGATCAGTGCAGGCT